CTTGGTTTTGTTTTTTTTTAATACCGCACGGAGACAAAAAGATCTAGAATCGAAATCTAGAATAGAAATCCGCTGCCTAGACATCCTCAATTGCAGATGCGTTGCCTACCCTTAATTGACGATGCAGAAGAGGCACATAAAGAGGATATTTCCCATTCCTTTGCGTCTCCTCAACCGTCAAATCCACTTTTCACTTCCATCCTCTCCTCTTAAGAAAAGGGTTGAAAGGGAAAGAGACTAAAATTAGGTCTCTGTCTATAATAATAACTTCTCATTTCCAATACACTCCAATACAATACTAAGAATGGGATTGGACTGTTACGTGTGTAAAATAAATTAAAGTCCATAATACATTTGAAAAAAAAAATGTTAGGCATGAAAGGAACATAAACATCAAACAAATAGCAGCAAAGCAAGATTGTCATGATGAGGCATGATGAGGGTACTCATTATTTTTTATAATGCGATGTGGACGGAGTCGCGGGTAAAGCCAGTAATATAAATGTACCTATTAGTGTGGAGGCGAGGGGCTGCGAGGGTGGTTCCTCGGGGAGTATTTTCCTGTGTCGCATCGGAAGTCTGTACAATTGTACCTGTCACATATTGTAATTATTTTTTAATTAATTTGAAAAAAAAAACAGTATCATTAATTTTACCAAAATTAAACAGATTATTAAGAAATGTTACAAAACTGTTATTGCACCTTTTTTTACAATTTAAATGCCTGTCCCAAGACAAAAATCCCCCTTTACCTAATTAAGATTTTAAAAAAATGCCTGTCCCACAATTCTTATAAATTGTCAGATAACAATCTAACTTATAAAATATGCGATGGAAATATCGGATGTTGTCCCTTGGTGACGTCACTTTTAAGCTATCTGAGCCTCTACCAGTGGTGTGACAGGCCCTAATTTTTACCAGGTAATTTTTATCGAATACGACACCACAAATAAAATAGATCTATTTGGTATTTACTTTAACTCTTTCAAGAAAAATATAAAAATTGTTTATGATAAGCTTAATTCCTAAATTTATTTAATACATTTTTATATAGCTTTAATTAATTTACTTAATATATACTTAGAATATAATGTAGATTATAGGATTTGTGCCACTTTTAAGGTCAAATTAAACGAAATGTAAACCTATAACTGTTAATTAAATTAGTAATAGCAAATGTTATGTACGCCAGTATTTACATATATATAAGAAACGATACTGTCAACTAACTCATTGTAAGTGTATAATATATATGTTGTGGTTGTACTTAAATAAATAAATTTTAGTAAATATTTACCTTAAAAGTAAGATTTTGGTCGTGCATTATAGAATTCGCGAATTGTTCTTCCACAATGCAAGTTAACGTTATAAAACATAAACTACATTTGTTAATGCTCGCTTCGCTTTTCGTGTCCGCCATCACTATGGAACTGGAATATAAATATTTACATTTTAATTAAAACAATTAGATGACAGATATCAGAACTATCAATCAAATGTAATCACTTACCAATACTGGAAGAAAGTGACTAACAAATTAGTCGGTTGGTCGTTGTCTAGAGCTTGAATCTGGGCCAAATTTGGTGGAGTCTGAAATTAACAATTACTTGTCTTAAAACATTTTTAATAAATAAACATGTAATTACTTCCATGCGTGTTAACTTTTTCATAAATACTATCTACTCAGACATAAAAAGAATAACATATGAGTCTTGTATTGGTTTGTAATAATTAATTTGTAAAAAGGAATCCTTAATTGACCATTAAACGACTCTGAGTGTGGTAGGTAATATGTATCTATCAAGTGAGTTGCGTTGTTGCGCGTTGAATCCTCATTTGCAGATTAGTTGGTTGACTTTAATCAACAGGAGACGCATAAAAAGATTTCCCCTATTTGCGCCCACTCTAAGATATTTCACTTCCATTCCTTTCACTGTTGGCTATGAGAAAGGGGACTTAAATTAGACTGTACACATATTGTATGCTAAGAACTTCCACTCGAGGAAAGTAAAAGTACTTTTAATGTAAAAGAGGTTATTTTTTTCTATCATTGTTAATTTCAATAGAGAAGGCACTTCACTCGACATTTTTCACATGATCATTACTAAGACAATTTTTATTGATAAATCTTTAAACCCACATCTTACTAATATTATAAATGCGAATGTTTAGATGGATGGATGTTTGTTAGAGTTTGTAGCCCAAACGGCTGAACGGATCTCGATGAAATTTGGTATAGATGAAGAGGATAGTCTGGAAGAAAACATAGGCTACTCACTTTTTTTTTAATTCCACGCAAACGAAGTCGCGGGCGAAAACTAGTGTATATATAATTAATTGTTTTTAAACTTATTACACTTGACGTACTAAACTTGACGATTGATATAGTATCTTTCAGATAAAGTACCGGTGGAAAGAAAATCTATATATTTTTTCATTAAATGCATGATTTTTTCTTTTAAAATACCTAAAATTGAAACGGGAAAATAGAACATAGATGAAAAGACAAAAAAGGAAAAAAAATTGATCTATTCAGTGTAAAAGAGAAGACTGGACATTAAGGGTTAATTGTCTTCGTAATTACTTGGTGCGGCGGCAGCGTGGCGGGCGGGGAGGGCGGCGCGGAGGACGCGGCGGCGGAGGAGGAGTGCGCGAGGGTGGTCATGAAGTTGCGGTTGAGGTGCGCCGCCTCGTACAGCGCCAGCAACATACCCTCCTCACCCCCGCTACAACACACGAATACGCTACTTTCAAGAACACCTTGAATAGGCAATATGTCGTCAAATTGCACCTTTTATAAGTAAACTTTATTAGTATAACAGCATATCTGTAAAGATTTTTTTAAATAAAATGTGATTTAGTGGCGAAATTTAATGATTAAAAATAGTCTTTTTTAAAATTCCCTCTATAAGTTTTAAAACGCAACGCTATTGGTCAAAGCAAGTGACTTATCTAATATGGCGTCGCTGTGTTGTCAATACACAGTACATTTACGTTAATTTATATAGAAATTCACTCTTGAAGAATTTATTATAAAAATTACATATGGTAATTTTGACATTTGCAATTGAGAATTTGACAAAATGTAAATAAAATAAAAATTTCATAATTTGATGCGGATGAAGCCGCACGGAAACAGCTAGTATTAAGTATAGAAGTATGAAAGTACAGATAGATCGATCAAACCTTATCCTATGTCCTCTAACGAGAGGTTGTGTGTCATCGCTGGTAAGGAATATTCCCCCCACCATACTGGTGAGTGAAGACAGCCAGCCACCGGCGTTACCTCCGCCTTGCACACCGCCGAATGTCGACATCACGTAATCATTTAATGCAGCTGTTATAACTTGCCCGTAACTGGAATTATTAAAACAACAGTATTAAAAAAATGTGGATGGATACCACTGACCCCTATAAATGGACAGGCTATATGATTTTGTGCATATTTGATTTTTGCCATCTTGGCGTTAACGGTTGCGATTGATGATGATAGTAAGAAAAAAAATTGCACTAACATAAACTGGCGAGTTGAAGTACAACAAAGCAAAAGCCAAAATTTTTAAGCAAAGACCTATCCATTTATGCAGACCAGTAAAACTTATTATATATTAAAAAGTATTTTTGTATGTAGTAAAATAACCCAAAAGCTACTAGACCAATTTAAAAAATCTTTCATTAAAAAATCTATGTTATTGGTGAGTAATATAGGCTATATTTTAATTCCATGCGGACGAAGTCGCGAGCAACAGCTAATCTATTAATCAGTTGTAACATTCCGTATTACCTATTGAAAATAAAATTATACAAAGTGAATACTTACCCATTAAGAGCTAATTCATCATCTAAAATAGATAACTTGACAACATATGGATTAGCTGATTCTTGTTTCTTATAGTTTACCAAAAACATAAGTAATAGTACCACATCATAACCTGCAAATACAAAGAGTCACCAATGAACTAAGTAGTAGTCTATATTTTTGTTATCATATTACAGTAAAAGGATTAAGCCTGGTAAGTTGGAATAGATATAAAAATATTAGTGAAGTACAGGCGAGTGGAGAGGCTTTTATCATCCTACTACAAAAACTTACTACATATGTTTGGATTTTTAAAACTACACAATAGATTTTTATGCAGTTCTTTTGTAGGTAGTGTAGTTCAAGAGGAAGGTTTATATGTATACTAGCTTTCGCCCGTGACTCCATCCGCGCGGAATTAAAAAAAACAAACGCAAGTAGCCTATGTATTCTTCTAGACTATTCTCTACATCTATGCCAAATTTCACCAAAATCCGTTTAGCTGTTTAGGCTACAAACGAATAAACATCTATCGAAACTTTCACATTTACAATATTACTAGCTTTTGCGCGCGACTCCGTTTGCGTGAGATTAAAAAAACATTACTGAGCAGCCTATGTGTTCTTCCAGACTATACTCTACATCTATGCCAAATTTGATTAAAATCCATTCAGCAGTTTAGGCTATAAACTCTAACATCCATCCATCCATCTAAACTTTCGCATTTATAATATTAGTAAGATTTTATATTGTAATAATCAATATTTACCATGATGTTGCCTTTCAGTAGATGTGCACAACAACTGTATAAGTGGTTCAAACAATGAATTCATCATCAGATATTCCACTAAAGGGTTTTCATCTATATTATCAACTCCAGTTGCAATCACCAGCAGAAGCTTTATAACCATTGACTTCAAACTATCTGGCACATCACCTGAAAACAGAAAATTTTATTAAAAAGACTAGCTTTTTCACATGAATCCATTCATGCCAAATTTTAAAAAAGAACATGTCGGTAGACTTTGTGTTCTTCTAGATAATGTTCTACATTTGAGCCAAATTTCACCATGGCTCATGAAACCATTCTGTAGTAACCTTCAAACAACCATCCATCTACCCCAACTATTATACTCATATTTCGCTAATACATATTATCATTGTGAAAGTCTAGATGGATGAATTTACAGCTTAAATGGCTCAGCCATTGCGGCTGGTGAATCTCAATGAGATTTGGCATAGATGTAGAACATTACAGACTACTAAAGTGTCTTTTAATTCCATGTCAACAGAGTTGGTAGCAAAAGCTAGTTTATAATATCAGTAAGAAGTAAGATAAGATTAAGCGGTGCATTAAATTTGAAGTATGCATAACTTATTTCCTTAAAATCTATTGCTGACAGATCTTTGTTGGTGGTGAGAAATCTTATCAACTATTTTTTTAATTCACCCATACATTTTTTAATAATTGCTGGCTACACACCTGATAATACAGTGCTACAGTGCTCTAAAAACTTTTGCATTTTAAAATTATCATTGCCAAGTAAAAGTAACTTCATGTTTATATTTGGATCCTGAGCGGCTCTTTGATACATTGTTGTAAGTAATGCACTGAATGTTTGTAGAGCATAAACAAGCCTGGAAATAAAACAGGATCATTATTATTAGTCAAGAACAAACAGCATACAATTTAGTAAGATTTGGGTTGAATAACTCAACTGAAATTGACCTGCAAATCAGCTCTGGTTTTTATTTAGATTTTAGCTTATTTGACCTAAACTTTTAAACTGCTGCAGAGCTGATTTACAGATACAAACACCTACCATAGGCCTACAACTATAGTTGTTTGATAAAATGTAAATGATTATTTTTCAACACCTTGTTTTAAATGATTTTTAATTGGTTTAACAACATTTTTTTTAAGTTTATTACTGACAAATCAAATAAAATACTGACATATTTAAAAAATCAATTACCAATTACTACTAGTAAGTTAATGAGAAAACCTTGTTAGAGATAAGATATTATGAAAACAGCAATGTATGATGGAAAAATTATAAGGCTACAAACCTTATATGGTGTTCTTGTCCTAGCATTTCTATGCATTGTGTTACAAGTAAATTCATATTTTCTTTCATGTTATTAAGTTGTTCAACTGTTAATTTGTGTATTTCAGCCTCCAATTGAGGAATTTTCGGTTTAAGAAGAAAAAATTCATCCCAAAACGTAGGATTATCACTTGTCAAATCTTCTCCTCTAAAGAAAGATTCATAAATCTGGACTACTTTCTCTTTTAGGTGTCTTTTAGACCCAGAACCACTTCTCTTCCTCATAGCCATTGCTTAAAGTAAACTACCAATAAGCGATATCACTTTCTCAATATTTTTAGTTTATTACACCTATGCTTTATTTTTACATTAACTATAATAACATTTGCCACTAGCTTAATAAAATTGTTTTAATTCTAATAAAATTAAAACAATTATCGTTTTATATTGAAAGTGATAAAAATCGTTTTTCGTGGCCGGTCAATTTGCATGTTGATTGACGTACGTAATATTTTGACTTTGACAGAAGGTGACAAATTCCGTTTATTAGATTAAAATAATTGTAATGCCCGGTTTACACTTCGCCAGTACAGTTAGACAGCTTATGATGGCCAGTTATAGGTTATTCGGCATACTGACGCTGCGCTGTAAAGTCGAATGAAGTGGAGTTTTGGAGCATTACTGTACAACTATACTGGTCAAGTATAGACCCCACATGATGTAACTACCTCTTTTTACTAAGAAAAATCGTTAATCAATTATTTATACATTTGGGAAATCAATAAACTTAATCGACTTAATACGAGAAGTGTTGAGAACCTCACGCGTTTTACGAAATAAATTATTCAAAATGTAATGTCATAAAAGCACCATATTGTTGATGTCCTTAAATTGTTGTTTGTTGGTTTATGGCTTTATGGTTTGTGGTATATTTAATCTGTGCTGTGCTGTATTGTGGTGAACATTTTGATTTTGCGTACATTTGTATTTTATTTCTATTCGCCTATAATTGTTAGAGATGAAATCTAAAAAACGCCATTATTCTTCATCAGAAGATTCTGATGAATCAAATGCTAGTGATAAATCTAGTAGTTCCTCAGATAGCGAAAGTGAAGACTCCTCCGTATCGGAGCACCGCGGCAAGAAGAAAAGAAAACGTGCCGACTCTTCAGACTCTGATAGTAATTCGGATAATCAAAAACGATCAAAAAAACGGAAACATAAGAAAAAGAAGAAGAAGCACGGAAAGAAAAAGAAGCGTTCAGATTCTGCAGATCGTGGTAACGTTGAAAGTATATCGTCTTTGAGTGAGGGAGAAATAACATCCAAAAAGAAAAGAAAACAAAAGCATAAACATTCAAAGCGGGCAGAGTCTTCACAAAGTGAAGGTATGTCTATTTGGAAAGTTAATGGTGTTTAAGATACTTTTATCTCAGTGCCTTCAAATTAGACACATGTAATGTATAGGTTGGAATGGGAAAGGTTTATGTTCACTATAGATATTATTGTCATAAGTGTTGTACTGATCATTCGTTTGATTGCTTGTCAATCTATTTTCAATACCAAATAAGTGTAAAATACCCAAAAATAATAATAAAAACCTGTTCCAGAAGATAAGCAAGAACAGCGCTTGCACAGTGTTGTTAAGGAATGTAGACAATCATCCGATGAAGGAAACCAACCTTCTCGCACATACTATCAGTAAGTTGCCTATTGTTTGAGAAAAGTAAGACAATAGGGAATATGCATGTATTTTTTTTCTTTTTTTAAACGATTCTACTTGTTATAAAATAACTAGAAAAAAAAATCATTTTAATTATTCCTGGTACAAATAAATGGTAATTAATTATTCTTTTCATTATTTTTTTTATTTTAAAGTTAGTCTTGATATAGTGTTTACAGTAAAATACTTCAAGAGTGAATTTCTATATATACTAACATAAATGAACTGTGTATTGACAACACAGTGATGCCATATTAGATAAGCCACTTGCTTAGACCAATAGTGTATGTTTTAGAACTAAGAGAGGGAATTTTTTAATGATTAAATTTCGCTACTAAATCACATTATTTAAAAAAAATCTTTACAGTATGTTTATACAGTAATAAAATATACTTAAAAAAAGTTTGGTACAATTCGGCGTCATATGCATATTGCCTATTCTAGATTATATCAATAAGTCAATGTTAAAAAGGTTTAGTTCAAAATCTGTTAAAGACATAATGTAATTGTAGAAAGGACTATCCAATGAGGGTTCCAGCATCAACTGACAACTATGAAAGACAATGTGAAGTGCAGCGATTCTACAGAGGCTCTAGTAAAGAACCACAATCATCTTATCAAGAGTCATATGGTTATGACAGAGGTCATAATGAAAGGTTACTATACTACATTTTAGATATATACCACTGAGATGTAAGTCAATAAATCTGTAAATAAATGTATGTAATATTTTTCAGAGTATATGATAAAAGCAGAGAAAGATTCAGCCACAATTCACAATATCCACCTAATGCTGAATATAACAGAAGACCTAAGGAATTTGATGAATATAAAAGGTAATTTATCTTGTTTATCAATCAATTTTTATTCTATTAATACAAATTAGTAATTTTCATACATTTATTCTAATGGTTGCATAGGAATCCAAGATATGAAGATCACAGACCTGAAGAAGAGTTCCCCAGACGACCCAGGGAAGAACCTTATCAAGCAAGAGAAGATTCAAGAGGTTATTACTATTCTTCTAACTTGCATGTATTGAATTTCAAAAAAGTGTCTGAATTATGAGGAAATAGTGGATTTACGTATTTTTAAATTTCAATACTTTCAGGATACAACCGTTACAATAATCATCATTATGACCATAGAGGAGGTCCCAAACAACGGGAAGTGCATGAAGTCAGGGATTATCGCGAAAGGTAATTATTATCACTATAACTATACACTAACACTGTGGGATTAAATAGAAATAAGAAATTTTAAACAATTTTCATATAAGGCAACCCACAGGGTTCAGCAGAAGGGAATGCCATTTTTTTACTTAAGCCCCTACAAATGTTCAGTTTTAACTAAATGTTACCATAGTAATGATAATATTTTTAACTAGCAGTAAACTGTTTGCTTCTCAATATTGCCTTCATTGTCAATTTTTATAAAGCAAGTGCTGGTTGAGGTATTATGGCGCTCGACAGAAAGAAGACGTAAAAATTGAATTACATAAATACCCTCAATATTTTGAATAGAATGGTAAGAAAGGCTTCAGTAAAAATATCTGTTTAAAAAAAATAACAAATGCTATATACCCCACAAAATTTTATAGTGAGATATATTCAGGATTTCGAGTTCTTAATATTAGAGTACTTAATGGGGATTGTATATTAATGTTATTGATTCCTGCAGACGAGGTCCACCTGACATGGAGAGATATCGTGAAAAAGAATACATGGAAAAGAAAGAGAAATACCGTGAAGAGAGATATCCAGGCGATAGGTAAGTGTACAGCTTTACTAGTTTTACATAAAGCACTTATACATAATTATAGTCATATAAGTATACATATGAAGGTCACGGCTGCATGATGATTCACACCGGCCAGTGTATTAACAGTGCGTTTAAATAACTGTATTTGTTTTTACAGTGACGTCTCTACAGAAAATTATAATGAATTTGGTCAGAACATGTTGCTGTTGCAAAGATATTTTAATGTTTTCACATTACATGATAATTATAACTCTAGGCATGTGTGAAATCTTTGATATCCAAAGATAATGGATTGAAATTTAGTTTGAAATACCTTCTAGGGTTATGAATGAAGGATTTTATGTATTCATTTCCGTTACTACCATTGGGATTAGATAAGAAAGAAGTAGTTTGGTACCGAAGAAATTATTAAGGATCAAGAAATTCCGTTGTTCTATAATTGAAGTAGTGACTGTGTTCATGTGGATATTTGGATATCCACTTACATTATCTTTTAGTTAATCGGAATTTTCTTTGCACTCCAATGTAAGAAATATATTGGAGTATTGATGTAACTTCTAATCGTATTTACTAAAGATACACAAACACAATTGTACAACAATGTTCAAGAGAATGTGGAAAAAACAATAGAAAACTGAAACAGAAGTTTTGAATAACTGTAGTAGTTCAGAAACACATTTCAAGAAGTAATCGAACCATAATCACTAACAAATGATTAAAAGTATCTAGGAAACTGACCATAATTTGAATATAACAAATGTGAAGGCTCACTTTGAAACCACTTTGAAACAGGAAGAATGATGAATTATTACTGATTACCTAACTGACTTTAGGTCTTGATTTAAACAAATAAAAAAATAGACGAATTGAGTACCTCCTTTTGGGAAGTCAGTCAATAATTTACCAAAAACCAAGAAAATAGTCTAGTAATTTAATTTCAAGAATTCAAGTTTTGAAATGACGCCCAAAGTAATTCAATGAAGACAATACTATTATCTGATATAGTCAAGTTTTGGGTTTTCAAACATTTTAAAAACCAAAGATTAGGTTGAAGAAACATATATTAAGCATAAATATATTGCTAAAAAACTTAATAGAAAAAACATTCTGGACTCACATGGATAAAGATAGACATAGCTTGGATTATAGAAGATTTTATTTAGAAAGATATCTGAAACATACAATATTAATATATCAGAATGAAAAAACAAAACTAAAATTATCAAACAGTAAAAGAAAATCTATAAAAAAAAAAGACATACAGACAAATTGAGTACCTCCTTCTTTTGAAGTCGGTCAAAAAAAGCATTTTTATAAAAAAAATCGTTTAAAACCAAGTTTTGTAAAAGAATTTTACAAATTTAAAAAAGTAATTGTTACTACATAAAGATTCTATTTCACCAAGCAATTTGTATAGAGCGTTTTTGCTAACATTAGAATGAACAAAATACAAAGATTGTAACAAATTATATGAAGAAGAAAAACCTGGCTTGAAATAAAAAGAATTTAAATTACAGTTGGATTCAAGATTTTATCAAAGATAATTTTTCAATGTTAAATTGAAACATGTTATATACAGAGATATCCACGATTGGATGAAATTTCTTGGGTAAAACCACCTACATCATATATAATCGAGTATATGGTAAGTGTATAGGAGTCGCAAACAAAGAGGCTCCGTCTTGAAGATTACGTACATAATTTTAATTCAAACAGGTATATGTCTAGTTACTATTACTTGATAAAATAACTGTGAAATCACCTCTGGTGAAGGAGATCCATATTAATTTAAATAAATAATCGTTTTAAATAATTGGAATCGCTTATTGATGATTTATTTTTGTTTTTTAATACTTTATTTAATGTTCAACAAAATTTTGGCATTTGGTTTTAATAATAAATTTATATTAAAATTGCTTTAACATTAAGTTATTTTGTGTGTGAAAGATATATGTGGTAATGATGACAATTTTTAATTTGTTGATTTATCATTTATAGGAATCGAGAGTTCCGTCGTGAGCGGCCGCCGAGGGTTGAGAAACCATCGTCGCCGCATCACACGTAAGTTCGTTTACGTCTTGGCCCGCGTGAAATTAAAAAAAAACATATCCTATGTTACTATTCGTGTAGCCTTTGAATGGTGAATGAATTTTTGAAATTGGCCCAGTAGTTTTTGAGCTACTTCAATACATACAAAAATACAAAACTTTCCTCTTTATAATATTAGTATACATAATAATATTCTATATTACTTACAAATTTCTATAAACATTGTATAAAGGAGGAGCAATTTAAGTAAGCACTAGCTTGTGTACATTGTTGCTTTCTAAAAAATAAAATGAAATACTGTTATTTTCTTTTACTCAATAGGTTCTTTGTTTTAATTCTATTTACATTCTTATAATTCTATTCACAGAGAGCATTCCAAATCACGTAGTCAAGAACGCTACCGAGAGAAGAACATAAAGGTGGAGAATAGAGAAGATAGAGAGGGAGGTAGAGAGGGGAGAGCAGCGAAGGATAGAGTGGAGAAGAGAGAGAGTTCGCGCGGCGGGGAGGAGCGCAGGGAGCGTCCGCGCCCCACTGAGAACGACTCCCGCCAGAGAGACCGGAAGACCAGGTAACAAGAGATTCCCAAATATATTCCTCGAGAACTTTGTAACCTATACTAATATAATAAAGCGTAAACACATGCTGCTTTGTGCTTTCACATCATATTTTTGATTAATTCTGTCTTTAATAAAAAGGCGTACACTTACGGCACGCTATATATTTTTACGCTATGAAACTTAGGGGGGTAATAAATAGGAAAATAACCATCATGTGAGAGAGGGACTATAAACTACAAGCTGCCAACGTTAAGGAAGCAAGTTTGTTATGGTAACGGTAATTTTGACATTTGCAATTGAGAATGTGACAAATGTAAACAATGAAATAAAGTTTTTACAATTTTATGCGGATGAAGCCGCTCGGAAACAGCTAGTCACCAGAGTTTTAAACCAATTAAATGTTCGGACCCCAAAATCTTGTACTCTCGAGAATCATCGATACCCCTAAAATGTGTATATGTAATATGCATCGTGAGTCGTGTAAATTAATATTACAATACTTAAACATATTTCAAATATTTTTTAATTATATTTATATTTTTTTTATATGCAATTAAAATCAAACATGCTTTCAGATTTGCTGATGCAGATGACAAGAAGGAGTACGGTTGGGGGAAAACAGAAGTGAAGAAAGAAGGTCAACCTGAAGGAGAAAAGGAGAAACCTAACTTTGGTCTGTCCGGCAAGCTGACTGCCGACGCCAACACCGTTAATGGCGTGGTTATAAAGTACGCCGAGCCTGATGATGCTAAACAACCTAAACGTAGATGGAGGTAGGTTTTTTTTAAATTAGGAATAGAATTAATACCTTTACTTTTGAAATTAAAAGATGTACACTAAGAGTCTCCCTCAGTGATCAATTAGGGAAGACCGGATTTAGCATTACCTGCGTCCTGATTGTGTCACAAAGATGTTACTAAATTAACATTAGTAGTATTTCTAGAAATTCACATCATCCAAATTTGACATGCAGTTATTAACAGGAACACTAATCAGGCACTGTGACGTCACTGTATTTAATACTTCGCTATTCAGTATCACAAAACAATACATAAACGATTCTATTCTTATACAGCGTGACGTCACGTGACGTCACAGTATTTAGTGATTTAGTGGTGTCTGCGCGATACACAATTGTATGTGTGGAGTATAGTATTTTACTATTATTTTTTAAATGTACATTTGAGTCCTTGCGGACACCTTTTGCCGTTAGGCTAATATGTAACAATAAATAAATTTAAGCAAAAAGTTTTAACTACTGAAGTATAGTGTATAATGTATAGCGTGTGTTGTGTTGCAGATTCTATCCGTTCAAGGGCGACAAGGCGCTGCCGATCCTGTACATCCACCGGCAGTCGTGCTTCCTGATCGGG